GTCCAATGACAAATTGACAAGCTGAGAAGCAGCAGGTAGTGAAGAGCACGAGTGGGCACCACACAAAAAATTCTATATTGAGTGGTGGTTCAACCAATCCTGTAGGTTTGCTCCGAAAAGCTACTCCTGTGTGATCAATATGAATTAAAATTTTACAAAATTAAAATGATAAATTGTACATTAAACCCCCTCATCTACATATTGAGTGGCACTGGACATTAACCAATTTGTAAGCGCTCAGCTTAGCACCCCTGGATTGCCATTTTGTGAAGGATAAATTGCACATCCCTCTTTCTTTTATGAATTGAGAAGGGATTAAGGGCTAATAAAATAGACGAGGGGGATTATGTGCAATGTATGCAAATAAAATTAAAAAGTGATCATTTTCCAACACTGGGAAGAAAGAGCATAAGATTGAAAATCAACTTAATTCAGCCCACATTTCCAAAAGATTAATTCTACCAAAAGGGTTTTCCTACGCTTTTTCCACACTCACAACAACTAGCTTTGAGATTCTTCTTCTTCCATGTTCTCTAGACTCCACATCCACAAGTGTTGAAAGAACTCCCTGCTGTCTGCAGTTCTTGATCTCAGGTAGATGAAATTAGAGAGATGACCGAGTCTTTGATCTTTATGTGGTTGAAGACTGAGCTAATAACCTTGTGTGGTTGTGCTCGCCCTCGTATGTGACTATGAGCATCGAAGGGTCTTCTAAACATCTTTCAACATGCTTTCGAGCAGAGCATCCCCTCATACTGCTGCATTTATAGTATCCCCTGCATCGGTGATTCAATATGGTATACACATAAGTTAGTTTTCATGAAGCATATGCGACAAAAGGGAGAGTAACTTGGTTTTGGATAAGGGTTCAAGCATTAGTTAAGAGCATAAAATTATAAACCTCAACCATTGCCACAACTTCAAAGTTTTAGTACAGTGATAGGGAGCAATCCAAGCTCAAATCTTCCTGACCACTAATATCTAAAGTGGATTAAAAAAGATTAGAATCCTCAAGCCTCACTACAACTTTGGAGTTTGTGATCAATGACAATAACCTTTGACAATATCTACCTAACATTTCACATGTAGTTACAAGAGTAACTAAAGAGATTACTGTATACATACAAACAACAATCAAAAACTTAATGGATGTATCCTATACAATTTATTTTCCCATCAAGAGCTTTAAAATAGAATGAAGGAAACAAAACACTGTACCACTTCATGAATGAACTCGACCTATTCTTCTTTCTAGTTTGGTTTCCAATCAAGAGCTTTAAAATGGAATGAAGGAAACAAAACACTGCATCACTTCATGAATGAACTCAACCTGTTCTTCTTTCTAGTTAAATGAAGGAACTCAATCTACTTCTCTCTAATTAGAATCCCAGAGTGGAGTCATGATATACGGGTCACCGATGCCTAGTACAATACAATATTTCACGATTCAGTTCAATATAGTTTACAGCACCAAAAAGTGCAATCCTTTTGGAATGAACTTCCATGCCAGCATTTTATTACTGTACTCTAAGGGGGTGTTTGGCAATTCGAAAGTGAATAGAAAATATGTAATTACTTGCAAATGACTTTCACATCCACATCAGCATGAAAGTGAAATGAAAAGTTTGTTTTAAAAAATATTTATTGTCCAAAGTGCAATGTGTTTTTTAAGATGATGTGGCAGAATAGAATCAATTAATAAATATAGCTAACTCATTTAATTAAAAGTGGTTCTCCTTTTTGTCAATTTTATGTGACTTCACCACTTCTTTAGGGAAAGTTAAAATTGTATTACATCCTATGTGGCAAGTTTCTTGCATTTCACTTCCATAACCACTTGCATGTAAACAAACACATAAAATGTCAAAAGCGAGTCACTTTCTCAATTTCATCTTTCTTGCATGCAAACAAACATCCCCTAAATGTGGCTAATTACCAGAACTACACTTAAAATGGTAAAATTCCCAACCATATTTATGGGCTACTGTATTGATGCACCTAATCTTACAAAAACCAACATACATAGTTCCAATAATTAGAGAAAATAATAAGAAATTGGCAATCATACCTTGGATGTGGAGAGCCTTTAATTGGCTTCTGTCCATACTTCCTCCATGAGAATTCATCAGGAGGGATATCAGCAAGCTTGTTACTGATTGCAGGCACCTTGATCGTCCTCTTCACTCTCAACTTCCTACATCGCCAAAGAAACAAACTTCTAAAATTTAATCAAATCCAATGATTTAAAAACCAAAACTGGCCTTAAGTACTAACAAACCGACCTCCTCTTTGAGCAATGGCACCTCCCACTAATTGCACATTTGCCATTCCCATCCTCTCCTCTACCATGGCACCTCCTCTTCATCCGTGGATGCTCAGATGAATTGGAGCCACCGATCAATTGAAATGGCATACCTTCAAAACTTGCATTGCTTCCCTCTACGCTAAGTGATGACAAAAAAGACTTAGTAGATGATACAGTTGGAGTACAACTAGAGTTGTCAAATTTAAGATCGATTCCACTGTTGCTCCTCTTGAACATCTCAGCTTGAATCTTCATCTGATGCTGACGCTGCTGAATTCTCTGGTAGCTGTTCTGCTGCTGCTGGAGATAATGAAAATGATGTGGGTTCTCGAGAAACATTTCGTGATGGTTGAGGGATTTAGGAGTTGAACCAAAGTCGGGGGTCGAGATTTTTAGAAGAGTTCTTGGGATGATTTGTGCAGGTTTAGCAAATACTATTGGACTGTCTAGAAAGATTTTGTGATTGAATGAGTGGGTTTTCTTTGATCTTCTAGCTCTTGCATGACCAACTCTATTACTAAGCAAAGAAGTAACCTTTCTAAACTTGGAAACAGCTTCATCAGTTTCAACCATCATATTCCTATATTGAGCTTGAGATAAATGGCTGAGAGCCCTGTGGCAGCTCTCAACAGCTGCTCTATTAGCTTCTTCAACCTCCTCCATTATCAATGACCACTGTCTAAAAACACCCTAAAACCCCCGAAATCTCAATTCCTAGATTCCACTTCATTAATCAAATCTCAGACAACCTTTCAAGAAACTGCAATTAAAATGAACAATTTAAGACAAACCCATATCAGATTCTGAGAAAAAAAAAACGAAAATTTTAATGAAGAAGACAACCACCAATTGTAGCAAAATCCCATAAAAGTAAACAATAAATGCTCTAACAAATCCCTCCTTTGATCTGATAAAGCTGAAAACTAAACCAAGATGGAATCTTTCACTGCTTGCATGAAATCATTCCACTCAAGGATCAAAAGTCATGTCATGATTTAGCACTTTAAGGCAAAGAGAAAACAAAAAGCAAATTTCAATAAACGGGCCAAAAGAGGAAAAGAACACACCTTGGATTCTCTTTTTGGGAAAACCCTAGAGTGGTTCACTTTCCATGGCTGCCCTGAGATCGGGAGGTGCGAAGATGAAGACCAAAAGCCAGTGAAAACTTACAATCTTCTTATCATTTTCATTTGCTAATATTATATTGAGAGGGGCTCCAGGGACTGGATTCAGATTCTCCATTGATTTAGGGGCGCATTAGAAAATATTCCCATGGAGAATGTCTCCGTGTAGAATGTGATTCGGACTCATAATCAACGGCTGAAATCTTTTGCTCTATACAGATCTCTTATTGTCGGAGATGATGAGGGTCCTACGTGTACAAAGACTTTTGTCTCTGATTTTTCTATTAAACTTGTTCTTTTTTTACTTTGATTTTCCTCAAGTTAGTCCGAAATGGGGCCCGCTATTAGAAAACATTAGGAAACTACGATCAATTTTGAGCGACTCTACACAAAACTATTACAAATTCTATGTTGGATAAAATATTAGGAAAAATTGCTTCAAAGCTTCAAAATTCAAGTTTCAATGTGCTCCAGCCCCCCAATTTCCCCTAATGTGTTGCGGCCCTATAATTTAAAAAAATTATGTCCAGACCCCTCTCCCTAAGTTCCAATGCAACCTCCTCCAAAATCCCGATTTTACCCTCTCCCCTACACCTCCCTCCTCCTCCTCCTCCGGTCCCCCTCCTCCCTCCCTCGCTGCACCTCCCCCTACACCTCCCTCCTCCTCCTTCGGTCCCCCTCCCTCACCTCCCTCCCCCGCTCCGTCGTCGGCCCGTCCTGAGGAACTTCGCATCTCATGTTAACTATTATAGTTAACATGTTAACTATTATAAGTAACATGTTAATTATTATAGATAACATGTTAACTATTACAGTTCACACATTGAGCTCAAAACATATTTATGAAATTATAATAGTTAACATGCTATCAATAATAGTTAACATGTTATCTATAATAGTTAACATGAACTGAGATGAACTGACATGAGAAAGAAAAATGGTAAAATTGGGATATTAGGAGCCGACATGTCTAATCATGAGCTAACATGTCTAATCATGAGCTGGAATCATGATGGAGGGCTCTGGACACAAATTTTTCAAAAAAAAGGAGCTGCAACACATTAAAAAAAAAATATGAGGGGCTGAGGCACATTGAAACTTGAATTTTGGGGTCTTGAAGCAATTTTTCCAGATAAAATATTATGAAGGATTTTTTCATTAAATTATTTATCTTGGGGATTTAGAGTAGTTGTTATGTGTTTCGCTTTCGAGCGCTTAAAGATCCACCACAATTCAGGTTCGATGCAATCCTATGAACTTTATGTTTTGCTTGAAAAATCTTATGACCTAAAGGAGCAATGTTTACTTTCGGTGTTTCTCTTCGACATTTTATTTTTATTTTTATTTTGAATTGACTCCAATAGCCCTCAATAAGATGGATGCTCATAGGTGCAACTCTGTTAGAAAAAAAATTTCAGATCTATAAATGACTTCAAGGAGTGGACCGCACTATCCTTAAGGTTTTATGTGCCCCAACTAATAGTGTGCAATAGAGTTCAACAAATAAATCTCTAGGATACAATGAAGCTCTGACTTTAATTGCACTATGCACTTGTGCAATTAAACCTGTAGGATACAATGAAGCTCTAACTTAATCGCACTATGCACTACTTGAAGGAATTTCAGCATCAGCAGCAGAATCAGGAAAAACAGGCGGCGGTCGACCGGTCCGGTCGACCGGATTCGTGCACAAGGGTTCCTGTGCGTCTGGAAGGAGGTCGGTCGACCGGCCCGGTCGACCGCAGATGTTTCGGTCGACCGGTGCGGACGACCGACGGCTCTCTGGATTTTTGGGGCTTCTGCTGGATGGTGATCGGTCGACCGGGCCGGTCGACCGGAATTGATCGCGGTCGACCGGGCCGGTCGACCGACGAAGCGGATATCAGTTTTTGAGCTGGTCGGTCGACCGGGCCGGTCGACCGGAATTGATCGCGGTCGACCGGTCCGGTCGACCGACGCTGTTTTGGACTGGGCTTTCAGGTTTTCGACCCGATTCGTTTTGTAAGTTCTATATATACCTAAACCTGTTTGTTTAGGGTAGAGTTTGGACGAATTTGAGCAGCCAAAGAGAGAGAATCATTGCATCCATAAGGGAGAGAGCTTTGAGAGATCTAGAGTTTTGTTTTAGGGTTTGGTCTGAGAGATTTGTAACCCTATTTGTATTCTCTTGATTTCTAGTAGAAAGAACTCCCCTCTCCTTGCCCCATGGACGTAGGCAACTTGCCGAACCACGTAAATTGTGTGTTCTTGCTGTGATTGTGGTTTGCATATTGTTTGTGGTTTTAGTTCGAGTTATTGTTCGTGTTGCCCTAGAAAGCTTCCGCCGCGCACAACAATTGGTATCAGAGCTAGATCGACAACATGGGAGATGCAAGCACGTCAGGTTCGTCTCTAACAAAGGCGATACAGAGTCTGAGCATCAATAACACGAAGATTGATGTTCCGAAGTTCGATGGCAAGATCAATTTTGGATTGTGGAGGTGTCAGGTGATGGATGCTTTGGATGCACAGAATTTGGAGGAGACTCTTGAGTTAAAAGAGAAACCCGCTGAGTTGGAGGATAAGGTTTGGAGAAAGATGAACAGTAGAGCTTGTGGTGTTATTAGGTCATGCTTGACGCCGGATCTTATTTATGATGTTATGAACGAGACGTCGGCGAAGAAGATGTGGGAAACACTCAATGAGAAATATCTTACGAAGAGCATTGAGAATCGGCTTCACTTGAAGAAGAGATTTTACCAGTTCAAGATGAAGAGAGGGGTTTCCATCAGGGAGCATGTCAACAATTTCACTAAGCTACTTTCAGATATGGCCAATGTTGATATTATAGTTGAGGATGAAGACAAGGCGATGCTACTTCTGTGTTCGTTGCCCGAAGATGATTATGGTACGTTCGTTCTCACTATGATCAATGGAAGAACTACAGTTAGCTACAAGGAGGTGACCTCAGCTTTGGTGAACTATGAGTTGAGGAAGAGTGATGGTGAACCCTCCGAGAAGGCATCGGGAGATGCGTTAGCAGTTCGAGGCCGAGATCCAAACCGTCGTCAGTTCAACCGCTCAAAGTCAAAGAATAGGAGTGCCTATAAGAGTGTTGGTAGAAATCAATGTCGGTATTGTAAAGAAGAAGGACATTGGAAGATTGACTGCCCAAAGTGGAAAGAAAAAGCCGGAAAGAATAAGGGGAAAGCTGCACAAGCTTCAGAAGTGAATGTTGCAAAAGCTATTGGTGAGCATTCAGATTCAGATTCTTCAGGCTATTCATGCCCTGCTTTACCGTCGGTTTGCTATGCGGATTCCACGGAGTGGATGATGGATTCGGGAGCTACATATCACATCTGCCCTAAGAGGGAGTGGTTTTCTAGCTTTGAGGAGCTGGAAAGAGGGGATGTCGTGCTTATGGGTAATGATCACGTATGCCCTATTGGTGGTATTGGTTCAGTCCGGATCAGGATGCATGATGGTGTAGTGAGGGAATTGAAGGAAGTGAGGTTCGTGCCGCAGTTGACGAAGAACATCATTTCTCTTGGGACTTTGGAGGCAGCAGGATATCGAGTGATCTTAGAGGATGCTACAGTGAAGGTCACGAAGGGTTCTATGGTGGTGATGCGAGGTGTCAGGGAAAACTACCTATACTACTTGAAGGGCAAGACAGTTACAGGGGGTCTGGCAGCTTCTATCACTACAGAGGAGGACACTACCACCTTATGGCACATGAGACTTGGACACACAGGAGATAAGTCCCTACAGTCATTGGCTAAACAGGGGCTATTGAAAGGTGCTAAGACCTGCAAGATGGAATTGTGTGAGCATTGTGTACTTGGGAAGAAGACTAGAGTGAAGTTCGGCACCGCTGTTCATAACACCCAAGGTACATTGGATTATATTCACACGGACGTTTGGGGTCCTTCCAAGAACACATCTCTTGGTGGGGCCAACTATTTTGTCACTTTCATTGATGATTATTCCAGGAGGAATTGGGTATACCCGATGAAGCATAAACATCAGGTCCTGGATATTTTTGTGGAGTGGAAAAAGAAAGTGGAGCTGCAGACAGGTAGAAAGGTGAAGACTCTACGTTCAGATAACGGTGGAGAGTACAAGAGTGATCCGTTTCTGCAGTTTTGCCGGGATCACGGCATTAGAAGACACTTCACAGTTCGAGAGACACCGCAACAGAACGGGGTGGCTGAGAGATTGAACCGTACCTTGCTGGAGAAGGTGCGGTGTATGATGACGCAGAGTGGATTGCCTAGATCTTTTTGGGCCGAGGCGTTGGTTTATGCGAGCCATCTTGTGAACAGGTTGCCGTGCACTGCGATAGACGGGAAGACTCCTTTGGAGCGTTGGTTTGGTTCGGAGGCTAGTGACTATGAGTCGCTTCGGATATTCGGGTGTCCAGCTTATTATCATGTCAGTGATGGTAAATTAAATCCGAGAGCGAGGAAAGCAGTCTTTGTGGGATTTAGAGATGGAGTCAAAGGCTTCAAGTTATGGGATCCACAGGACAAGAAGATAGTTATTAGCAGAGATGTCACATTTGACGAGGCGTACATGATGAGGCCTCGAACCCCTCAGCAGGTGGAGGGAGACCAGACAGGAGAGATATCGCAGCAGGTGGAGGATGATGTGACTCCACCCACTCCAGAGAACACTGTATCCATTGAGGCTCCTACAGAGGTGACACTGGGAGGAGATGAGATGACAGATGGGCAGATACAGGATACAGTAGATCATGGGACTCAGGAACAGGGTCATGTTCAGAGGACCATTGCAGCAGATAGACCGAGGAGAGAGATTCGTCGGCCAGCTAGGTATAATGATGTCATGGTCGCATATGCATTATCAGTGGAGGTCGTTGATGATATGGTTCCAGCCACATTCAGGGAGGCAGAGTCTAGCCCCGATTCGATCAGGTGGAGGGAAGCTATGGAGGAGGAGATGCGGTCTCTTCAGAAGAACGACACTTGGACACTTGCACATCTACCTAAGGGTAAGAAAGCTATTGGTTGCAAGTGGGTATATGCGAAGAAGGAGGGATCTTCTATTGGGGACATTCGGTTCAAAGCCAGATTAGTTGCCAAGGGATATGCACAGCTTGAGGGCATTGATTACAACGAGGTATTTTCACCCGTTGTGAAGCATTCGTCGATTCGGATT